GGCATTTTTATCATTTTTGATTTGCTTTTTTGAATTTGCCAGCTTCCCAGTTCAACCTTAACACCTTTTTTAGCGCGTAAGCGGCTTCTAAACTTTTTCATTTGACTTGTTTTTTAACCCTTTGCCAGGTAAAAAAACATAAGCATATGAAACCGCACATACAAGCGTGCTTGAAAATCCGCATGTAGATATTTATGCATACACAAATATGTTAACTCCTACACGTATATAAGAATAATAAGCGCGAACAGTTGCTGTTGATGACTGGTTGCTTCAATTCAGTTTTTATAATTTTCCTCGTGATTTTTTACATCTCTTGAATTTTTATTTTTATCTCCATTTTATGCTTTCCTGATCCTCTGATGTGTTTTTTTTTTCTTTTCTTTTTTATCCTTTTTGAAGCAATGTTAATTACGCTTCATACAGTTGAGTGGAACTTTAATCCCGAGTGTGCCATATTTACCCAAACGATTAAACCGAAACGGCAGTGCGGGGCGACAAATGTGGCATTCGGAAAGTAAAAGCTCATCGTTGTTTATGAAAAAACAGCAGTGGAGCGAGATGAGGGTGCTGTGATGGAAAATAAGCTGAACATTCAGTTGATTTCAGATATTTTTAGAATTAAACATGTTTTATTTGGCCAGATTAAAAATGGCGAAAATTGCGTTGAATTTTTGATTTTCGGCTCTTTCAATGTTACATGAATGCGGTTGAGCTCTTCCCTTGCCATCATCATCACTGCTAATAAATCATAATGAAGAGTGATGTTGTGAATTGTGGTTGAGTGATGTATGAATGATACCAGTCAAAATTTTTCGGTTAGCCCTTATTAGAAATATTTATGAGTAACTTTGAGCAAAAATCAATTACTCATGAATTCTCAGCAGTATAATGTACAGATTTTAATATATGATTCATCAAGTTAATATTAATATATACGTATACAAAATCCGCCTTAAGCAGACTTAGAAATCTTATTATTAGCTCGTCAGCTTTTAGTTTCTGTTGTACCGCAAAGACTAAAATCTTTGCCGAAGTCTGATTTCTGTTTGGAGCAATTAGTTGATGTGTCTTTGTAAGTCATCTACTAGAAGAATCCCTTCTGTTTCTCAGTCGCCCTTTAAAGAAACCTGTTTTTGAGAGTATAAGCAAAACGACCTTCAACTTTCCATTTCAGTGAACTTTGATACAGTTTTGTAGTTTCATTTTCCACTCAAGATGAGGTATCTGTAAATTTTTTATAGCCGGAAGATATAGTTAAAGTTTGCAGTTTCTCTCTGTTTTTAACTTTTGCTTAAGTATAGTTTTTGTTGAAACTATGAAATAGAAAAATTGAAAGAAAATAAAACATTGTTATTAGTCCACCAATTACTGGCTACTACAATCAGATCTTAGAGACTACAAAATATCTAGAAGGAGGAGACAAATTATATTGTAAAAAATTTCCGAAAAATTCTCATTAACAGTGGAGTAATGATTTTTTTTCTAATTTTGAATTTAATTTTCTGAAATCTGTTGTCAATTGTTTGGCACAGTTGATAAAATTGCCAATCTCTCCAAACACAGAACTGTTTGTGCTGGCGCACTGCCTTTTAATCTCAACCCTTTTGATTTTACGTTGCTGTAAGTGATTTACCTTTTATCACCATTTAACATCCGCTTCAGATATGGGTCGATTTTGTAAAGATTCAGCATCGATTCCCAGATGGGAGTTCGGTCCATTGGTGCTTTTCTGCTTAACTCACATGGCAACCATACATCTTTGTGTATCCAGCTCTCTCCAACTTGTTTATTGTGTACTGTTTAACTTCTAAGCAAACGAAGCAGTGCTTAGGTCTTGAAGGCCAAAAAAAGGGTTATTTGCTCTAATTCTTATAAAAGGTACTAAATAAAATATACAATTTATTTTGATTACATAAAAAAGTATATATGTAAATATGTTGGCAACATTTGATGAAAATTGGAATGAAAAATAAGATAGGTTAAGGCGTTGGCAGTGTCGTGAAGTAGACCGTACAAAAGAAAGTGATTTCGCAGTGGTCATGATAGCTTTTTCAATTTTTATTTGAAATTAAAAATCGATTTTTTTCTTAAAGTAGGTGAATTTTCTTTGTCCCTGAACGAAAAAAAAATTATAAAAATTTGAAGTTGAGTTTTTTAGCGTCATTTTTTGCATAAAATAAGTGGTTTTAAAAACGCGCTTTTAAAGTTTTGCCGTCGGTCAAGCCATGACAAAGACGGCGGGTTATAAAATTCTCTAATTTCCATGGTTTCATCTCGATAGACCTAAACACATAATTTTTTTATTCTAGCATTTAAAAAAGGCATCTAAGAGCGTGAAATTGTTTAATATTTTACTAAAAATTATCGAAATCGAACCTCAGAAATAAAGGTTGGGTTAATAATCTATTAGAAAGACATTTGAGAGCGTGAAATTTGTAATTTTGCAAAAGTATACTCAAATGAAAATTCATTTTAATAAAAAAATGAAACAGCATCTGTAAAACTTATCACACTAATGAATGGACCGTTTTCTTGAAGTAAAAATATTGAAGTTTCGGCCAAAGAAGTTCACAAATGTAGCCAGTGGGATTAAGGAATAAATGTATGTTCACTTAAAAGCTGAACAATAATTTTATAGGTATATAATTCGACCAAGATATCCATGAAAGCGGAGTAAATTCTAAGCGAATTAGAAAAAATATGTGGCTTATGTGAATTCACTCACTTCGCTGTTGAAAGCTAAAAAATTTATGTTTTTTATACGAAGCATACATTTAATGCACTCACGAAACGAGTTGCTACATAAACATCAAAACAAAGAACAAGCACAAGCACATTTACAAGCCGCGTGAATTACGCTTTGTTTCTGCCTTCCCTCCAGCCACCCACCCAGGCAAACCACTGGCATAGCTTTTGGTGTAAGTGATGGAATATTGCTAGCTCTATGCTCAAATACGATTTGCATGAAGTAAAATATTTTTCCTATATTATATATAATATTTTTTCCTTCTTCTTCTTCTTCTGCACTACAAGTTCATATTGCACTTATAACTGGTGTATGCATATGTATGAATTCAAACAAATATACACAAGTAAAATTGCACGCGTCTTTGGTGTAAATGACAATGGCGTTTGCTTGGGTATAACGCACATATGTATATGCATGTGTGTGTTTTTGTAGCTGTGTTTTTTAAAAAATTTATGTTTAATTTTTTCCATTGCATATACATGTGTATGCAGTTATGTGTGTATACTTGTCGAACTTCGTGGGTATGTTTGTGTATGTACATTTCTATGGACTTTTAATAGCTTTTAATGCATATAAATGTATTTTTTCACTCTTTATGTGGATCAGCTGCACTTCTGACAGTTACTTTACTTTGGCTTTCACTCGGCACTCGCATGCAATTGTAATATAACTTACATGTACACATGTAAATACTAGTTCATGCGATTCCATATACATATATGTGCTTATGTGTGCGTGTGTGTGTTACTTTGTATTCAAGTTACGCTCCAAATACGTTGCGCCTGCTACTTTCTCAAGCAAAAGATGCTGCATATCCTTTTTCCATCAGCGAACGAACGAACGAACTTATAAGTGCATACAATTTTCTTACGGTACACACACGTTTACATATGGTTTGTATGTGGTATGTGAGTGTTATTTACGATATTAAGTTGAGCCTTTTAAGTTGCGGCAGCTGGCTGCATTGAAAGGAATTGAAGTTCAACCAACAGTTAAACCTACTGACACACATTCGTTTGTCGTCACCTCGCTCCGCTTTGTGCCACATCTCGATGACTCGACGAATTGTCAACGAGCCTAGCGTTAGATGTCCATATAAATGTACTTATGCGTACATATATATATGCATATATGCTTATGTGGTTATGTGTGGCAGTAGGCAGCATTCATCATTTGTTTCTTTATTTTATTTTGTTGCCCTTTTCAATTGTGTGTCCGTCCATTGTACGAATGGTATTGCGTGCACACATACATTGTTGTGTGTGTGTGTGTGTTAAAATGCACTTTTACTTTCTACTTATTTTTGTATTTTTTTTTCTTTGTAATTTGCATTGTGTGGCAAGTTACGCCCATGGCTTTGTTGACATGCCACAAAACCACAAAATAACAGCAGTGACAAAGAGGTCACCGCAAGTACATCGTGTAGTGGGGTGTGTAACAGTACTTTGAAAACAAAAACAAGCAATGTATAAGTTTGCAAAAAAAAAAACACCAAAAATGCTCAAAATTAATGTCATCTCATAAATTTGGTGTTTAATGCCGTAGCATTGTGGCTCAAGTTGGTCCACTCCGGCCACTCAACAGCGCGGCTCTTGTTGATTTTATGCTTTAGCTCAATGCCAAAACAAATGGTGCTGTTATTGCTATTGTCTTTACTGTTGCTATGCTTGCATATAAGCAATACATAAATTATTTTTGCTGACTTTATTGCTTTCATTGTATATATAATTTTTCCTTTTTTTATTTTCTTTTTCGCTTTTGTCCTTCACTTCGTGCCCTTTTTTCAGCGTATTTTTGCACATTTCTCTCAAACTTCCAAATTTCCCCTTTACGTTTGAATTCTCCTTCGCCTTTCTCGTGGTGTGACACTTCTAGTGGTCAGCACTTTGCATGCGAATCTCCAATGAACCTCTCAGACATACATACATACCTTTATGTGCATATTTCGTGCAACGCCAACAATTCTGAAAAGCAATTATTTCATTTCCGCCGCAACACATTTTTTAACGCTTCAAGCCGCAGCGCAGCGAATTGCAAATTTGTTAGTGTGGTGTTATAATTTTGTTGTTATTGTTGTTGGTGTTTCTCTTTAAAATGAAAGTTCTATAGTATGTGCGGATCAAACACGGATACCAGTTTTATTTCATTCAGTTTTTCCTTTAATATTTATAAAATTTGTTTAACGAAACTTTGGTCCAAACATACAATTTTTCATTTATTCCCCGCTTGCAAAATAAAAACTAAATGCTTTCTTTTATTGATTTTTTTAAAGGCATTTTATTCTATAGACTAATAGAAATTATGTTGTTAAACTGAATTTATTGCATTGTTCCCGCAGCCGATCTCCAGAAGGGTCTTCAGAAAAAGATGTCTGGCGGTGAGGAAAATATTTCTGCTTCAAATCATCTGAAACCCGAAAACCAAACAAATTTATTATTATAATGGATAGGTAATGATTAAAAAAATAGTCAAAATTTTGATAAAAAAATGGCTGCTTCAAAAATAAATTTTTGTGAAAAATTCTACACTTTAAAGAGACTTAAAAAATCGAAATTATTGTAAGAATTGTATTCTTTCGATCATTGCCTAACAAATATGTCTCAAACTGTCGTGTGAAAATTTTAAGCCCATCGATTGAGCCGTTTCAGAGGAAGTTTTGATATTTCATCGAGAGAACTTTTTGGTTAAGTTTAAAGTTACAATGCCTAGAAGGGATCTTGGGATAGCTGGTGAGAAGAAAAATTTAGAAGGAAGTTTCATATGTGAACTTTTAAATTGAATTTGCTTCCATAAATAAAACCTTACCCATTGATCGCTTATAATTTAATTAATTTATATTGAAATGCTTGGTTTAATGACGATACAGATTAGGAGGAAGGCAATTCCGACGATTCGAAAGAAATTACTTTTGAGAAAAAGAGACGCAGTTTTAGGGATCTTCGTCTATTTGAACCAGAACTCGTCCCAAATTTACTCAGAAATTTCTATATTATCACCATCAACTTCGATTGTCTTATGCTCTACCCCGACCCTGAAACGAAGAAGTCATACGTTTCCAGTTAATCACCCCAAATAACAACTTTTTATGATAAACTTATTGCGTCCCGTGATATTTTATAATCAAAACGATAACATTTCTCAAAGAGAAGAACTTTCGATGTTGCTACGAGGTAGCCCATTCTGTAATTCGACTTTGATTTCATTTTTCAAGTTATTAACCGTATCTGTTTGGTTGGCATGGAACTAATTCTTGAAGGTTTACAAGAAAAAATAGTTCAAAGAAGCCAAATTACAATGCGAGGTGGACAGTTGCCAGCGCTTCTTTGATAACTGTTCGATTCTGACATCTGACTGAAGCACATTGTCCATGTCGTTTTCTTCAAGTTCTGGAAACAAATACGCTCTGAGATCGGTACGGTAGTGCTCGGTATTGTCAGTAACGGTAAATTTCGGTCAGCGTATATTTCAAAAAACAAGTGTTCGTTTCCGTCCTCCATCGCATCGTTGTATATAAATACAAGACGTACTCATTTTCTTTCTTTTCAGAGTTAATAAACCAAAGGGCTGGCTTTCGGTTATTCCGATACAGTTCCCCCTGACACTGTAAGATATGCCCAGAATATCCTTAAAGCTGCTATGCCTTTCTAGTGGTTTAGCAGGACGTTCAGTGTTGTCGAAATCAAAAGTTTAAATTTTTTCCGCGCCAAGTTGAAATGTTATTTATTTTATCTTTCAACTCCTTTCCCTTTAGCCGATCTTCAGAAGAGTCTCAAAAAAAAGGTGGCAGAGCTAACAGCAAGCATAGAGGGAGAAGATCAGACAGTGAGTGTACTGCTTCCTTGTTGTGGGAGCAAATAGCTCTAAAAGTTTTATTAAGAAAATAAAATATATAATGAAGCTGTGTCGAATAAAATGGACATGAGAGGCATGAAGCGCTCTTTATCAATAAAGCAGGAATGGCTTAGAAAGAAAATTGAGATTTAGCTACAGATGCTGAGGTTCGACCTAAATTACCAGCCTAAACATAATTAATTTTTGTATTATGTTTTTTTATTTTTGTAATTTTTGGTCTTTTGCGAATTATTTCAAATAAATATAAAATGTTTATATATAGGGTTATTCATTTTGGACCACCGTCACTTTGTCATTGTTTACTCTAATTATGATCACAAATATGAAATTGTTGTAATAAAAAGTTCGCTCGGTTTACATCTAAGAGATGGCGTTATTATCCATAGTGTCGCATCATGCCATACTATATGGCGCTGAAAACGTGTTTATTAGTTGAAAGTTTGTCTTTGACAGTTTTTCGATTGATTGACTCTGTACGTTGTGAGAAAAAAATTAATTTGCAATGTAGAAAATGTACACAAAGTTATTATATTTTGAAAAATTAATAAAAAACTGAACGAACCTTTTACTTGACCTAATATTATTCAATTACATGGCTTCCCATTAAAAAATTTTAAATATAAATATGCGCATCATAAGTGATGCATATACATACCTACTCTTTCTTGAATGTATATACGTGTATGTACGAGTATGAATAGCACTTCGTTTATGTAAGTAAATAAAGCTCACTGTGAGCTTCCCAGCATACAGATATGTAAATGCATATACGTTATATATTTATGTGTGAATGTATACATAAGCATTTTTTGTTACAAACTAATAGACCTGCCTGCTAGGTGTTTAGCGTAAGCAAACTGCCATTTCGCGTCCGCAAGTGGCAAATGGCAAGTGACCCTCGGCGCTGCTTCATTTGGCATTTGAATGAACAATGTAGTACCAGATAAGTGACTTTTGCCCCATGACCCAGCACAAGTTGCACAGAGCTACAGAGATGACAGCAAACCAAATTGGCCTTCAAATTGTGCACTCACTACACACACTATATATGCACATACTCGTGTATACACAATTGTACGTATTCACTAAAAGCTAACCAAGTGCTCCAAGCTAATACTGCTTTACATATGTGATAAGAGTGGCACTGAATAGCCAGACTTGACCACGTAAAAGGAGATAAAGTGCGATTTGCTCAAATGAATTAGGTAGGTTTTAACATATGCTAGTGGATATGTTGAGGCAAGAGAAAGCAAATTGCAGCCCTACGTTCTTTTAGTTATGACAATAGTTGATAATAATAAAAAATACCAAAAATATTTTTTATTCTGATTTCTTAAATAATATATTAGGTTTGGTGAAAAGTAAAAAGTAATCAATTATTTTTTTAATTCATGGCTTTACCGATCTTTATATCGCGTTCCGTAAGTGTCATTATACTACGCTTCATTAGGTGGAATATGATATTTTGTACCACAAAGGGTAATGGGAGAAGAGTTGATCACTGAACTAAGTAGTGTTTTAGTGCATGCCAAAGAGGGATACCACCATAGACGCTGTGAGCTCAAACTTTTCTCTGATAATGGCAAAAACGCAATTCAGCCAGCAGAAAGTCTGAACGGTGCTTATGGTTCTGAGACTATAATAATCAATCTCGCACCCTTTTGGTTTCGTCGATATCATTCCGGTAATTTTGATATAAAACAAATTCCACGGAAGGCCAATTGCCGAAAATGTCGGTCATTGCACAAAAACTAGTTTGGAGCCACTTGAAACACACACAAAGAAGCTCAATCTACGAGTGTTACATGAGTTGACGACAGCAAACCTCACGGACCGAAATTCCATCTGCGATTTGTTGCTGAAACAAAAAAATATCTACCCAATCATGAAGCGTAGCTGATGATGAAAATATCACCTTCTACTGTAAATTCAAATGAAAACGATCGTGGTCGAAAAAGAGAGAGCCGTCTGAGGAGAGCCCTTGAGGCCAGTTAAAACTTCCATTGTCAGCAACTGAGCAGAATGATGAAATCAATCGCCCAGAAGCGACCAGCTCTGGCCAACAGTAGGGGATTTGTGTTTCATCATTACAGAGCTTACGGATCTATAGTGACCCGCCAGATACTCCGAGAGCTTGGCTATGAGGTTTTAATGAATGGAGCTTATAGTCACCAACTCGCACTAAGTCATTACCAGCTTTTTGTGTTTATAGCGAATGATCTGGCTGGTGAAGAAATGGCCACAAAAGAGTCTCGCGAAAATCGCTTGCCTCAGTTTTTTGCCAGTAAAGACAAGTGTTTCGATGAGAGACAGACGGGTGGTGTATTTGCTATAAACCGGATAATTTTATTTGTATATTTTAGAGATTTGCTCGCAAATACCAGAAACGGTGATCGTGAAAGCGTCGTTCATTTAGAACTAAATTAAACAATTGTATAATAATGAAGGTTTTTTTAAATAAAGAATCTGATATAGGAAAATTAGAACAAAATACTCAATAGGAATGTAAAAATTGTTTAGAGGGCATGAGACATGCAGCATTGGTATTGAAAACAGGGATAAACGAGGATAACTGCACTCTTTCCATAAGTTAGACAAGTCATGTATATTTACTGCAGCAACTTCTTCCAATTGCACTGGGTTGTACGCTAAAAGACGGCTTTCCACTTGTCCTTGTATTATTTAAGTAAAAAAATCTTAAGTGAAGGTTTCTAAGTCTTAAATAAAATTATTTTTAGAAAGAGTAAACAAAATATCTTAAGTTTTTAGATTTTATGGAACTGTCTCAGATCATATATTATTTAAAATAACAACAACATTTCCTTTGCGAGTTCTAATTTCCGGTAAAAAAAATGCAAAGTGAAAATAAATCTGGAAAAAATTTCAAGAAAGAACTAAGACCAAATTACCTACGTTCCTAAGAGCAATAAAATCTGCGCCTTTAAGTTCAAAATATAATAGCATTGTTTAAATATTTAATTACATTTGACTTTTATTAGTGAACAATATGCCACTCAGACTGTCTTCTAACTGCTGTGCGGCATATTGTTTAAATATTTTCCTTGCATATTTAGGTACACAAAACTAAAGTCTGCACAGTTTCGTCTACTATTTTGACAATATTACAATGCGAACAAATGTTGCAAACATATTAATTAGTTGAAGACAGCTAACAACAACAAATATAATGTTCTGAAAATACACAAGACAAGTTTTTCTAAAAAAAAAGCAAAAATTTAATGGTGGAAATGTGTTACCAAAACAATCCAAATTACATACACAACATTTAATAATCATGAAAATTTGAAAATCGTGCACTGGAAGTGACTAACCTGTACGAAAAGTTTTGTGTATCTCATGAATGATTAAAATATTTAATCAACCAGAAATATAAATGGTAAATTAATACCTTTGTGATATTTTTTTTATACACATAATTGATTTAATTAATTTTTGCATATTTTCCCATTCAATTTGTATTTTGCTCGATTTTCTTTTAAAATGTTTTATACATTGTTTGCTATTTTCTACTTGTACTTTTTTGTGTTAAATGT